CCTGGACAGGACACCAACCAATTGCAGGGCTAACACTTTAGAAGCAGTTTCAGTTCATTTGACGAGCAGAAGACAGTCACTCAGCAGTATAGTACAGTAAAAAAACACAATATTTATAAAACACAGCAACAAATACAGTAAAAAATGTTAACAGACTAAATATAAATATATATGCACACTTGTATAAACAGAAAAAGAAATCTTAAATGAGATAAAGTGTCAGGAGTAAGCAGCAGTACAAACTGAACAGCACAGTTTGAGTGTCAGTTAGGGCAGGACTGCACAGAGTAAGGGTTTTTATTTCTATTTAAATACTAATAAAAATGACGTGACCAGTGCAGAGTGCAGTATGTATCTGTGAAACTGTAGGACAGCGTCTGCATCCTGTGTGTGTTTAAATATTGTGCTTGAGGTGTCGTACAGCTTGGTGGTAAAAACTGTTTTTAAGTCTTGTAGTCGGAGCAGACAGACTCCTGTAACGTCTGCCAGATGGTAACAAGGAGAACAGCTGGTGTGCTGGGTGGCTGTGGTGCTTGATGATGCTGTGTGTTTTTGGGTGCCCAGAGAGAACACAAAACACACAATAACATGTTAAAAAATAACAACAATGAAGTGTAAACATGTTCGATGTGCAAGACTTGGAGTGAGCATCAAACTGATGCCAGAATCCAAATTCAGACGTTTTCACCCCTTTAAAGGGGGAACGTGTTGATTTTGCACAGACACAAGTCAGTGTGAGATAAATAAAAGTGTTCAGGGACACAAACAAAGGGGAAATAAGGGCAGCGTGGTGGTGTAGTGGGTAGCACTGCTGCCTCACAGCATGATGATGCTGGGTTTGAATCCCTCTGCTCTATGACTGCTGGGGTAAGGCCCCAGACCCCCATAATCCTGAAGTGGATGTAACTGGATGGATGGAAGTAAAACAGAAACAAAATAAGTGCATCAGATTAATTTAGAGTATCTGTCACAGATGAAGGAAACAATCCAGAAATGAGAAGCACAAAGACTGTCACTCAGTCTCGGTCACTTGAGGGTAAAAATCAAAAGCGAGTCCCAAATAATGATTTCTCCACATTGCCGGATAATACAAAGTGACTGGTGTGTGTGTGTGTGTGTGTGTGTGTGGAGGGGGTGTTGATATGGAGGCACTGACAAATGATGAGTAAAATTACATTTTTCCACTCAGGCCCGCCGTGTCACAGCACAGGACACGGTAAATCTGGAACAAATTTCACATTTGTCATTTCACATTTATTATCTCTAAAGATGACGGAAATGAAATCCGTCAAGTGGGACATCGTGGAACTGAGAGACCTCAAACGAGGCCGTTTCAAGTTGAAGGGAGACTCTTTTTAGAGCGGGTGTTTGACATGCGGGGCTACCTGCAGGGGAGCTGCAAGTGTGTGAATCAAATGTTGAAACGCACCCGTGTGGTTCAGTTAATTTGATGATTATCACGGTTGAAATGACGTTAGATATGCCGCCTGCCACGTAATCACGTTAGGG